TTGGGGAGTTGAGCTTTCCTTGCAGCTGGAGAAACTCTATGAAGCCATCTCTTAAGTACTTGGTCAGCTTACTGAGCAAGCGATCTACGTGTGAACAACAGTTCAACTCCATCCCTCTGGGACCCTCCAAGGACAACAGCATACTCACTAAGAGGTGGACGCGGAGAGCGAAACTCTGAAAGCTGCGAGCATCATTTGGTTTGACCTCCGGTGCTGTGAGGATTGCTGCTATTTCGCTCTGAGCCAGCTGGTGTGGTTGACCATATTGCAACTGAAGGGCTTGCATAGCTGCTGAGTATGGATATGGATGATGGCGACAAGACTGGCCAATCATCTGTGCCTCAGGCAATTTGAGGTGCTCCAGCAAAATATGGTACTTGTATTTCTCATCTAGCTCTGCATGAGGTTCAAGAAGGTTGTCCAGTGCTAACTTCAGGTTAGCAAATTCCTGTTCGTTGTCATTCACAAAATCAGGAATCTTTGGCTGGGGGGCAGCATGGTAAGGGCGGTGAGGCACAAAGTATTCCGTAGGATTCAGTGCCTTATTAAATGGCTGTAGAGAGGGGGGATCAAAGGCAGGTGGATTCAGAGTCGTAACTGGAACTCTAGGCTGGGTTTTAGAGACTGATGCGACTGGAGTCATAAGAGTATAATGAGGAGTCACAAAAGTTGCTGTAGGCAGAGCAGTAAACTGTTGTTGTGAAGGTGACACTGCCAAGTGGCCATATGCTGCATTAACGTCCTGGTAGGCTGGCGTTGGTGCCATTAGGATTGCTCCGTATCCATGTCAGCACAGCAGTGCAGTTGAGGAGGCAGTCCCACGGATGCTATAGCGATGTCGTTCCCAGGCTGTGAAGACCGAAGATACTGCTCGGCCTCCAGCGGTGAACGGAAGAGGTTTTGTCTCCCTGCATGAATGACATTGAGTGTAGCCGGGAAGAGAAGAAACGACTGAATTCCGAATGTATCCATCTTCTTCCGCACCTCAGTGAAAGCCTTCCTTTTCTTAGTGGTGTCTGCGCTGTAATCCGGGAAGAAATGAAGGGGTTCGCTGCCGAACTTGACCGGGTATGCGGCCCTCGCCCCTTTGAGGATGGCTTGTCTATCGATGTAGTCCAACAGTTTGAATATAACCGTGCATGGGCGTTTAGACGGCTTGTCTGAGTAGATGCGGTGTGCGCGTTCGATTTTGATTTCTCTGTTCGCGATGGAAGGTTTCCATTTGGGCAGGTTCGCCTTTAAAAAGGCGATGCAGTCATCTCCCTCAACACCTTCTCTGAGGCCGACTAACCGTACATTGGATCTTCTACTGCGGTCTTCCATGTCAGCAATCTTTAATGTGATGTCATCGAATTTAGATTTTAGATCGCTGATCTGATCCCTGTCTTTACGAACAGCCGCCTGTATGGTGTCATATCTGGACTGGAGCAGAGATACCGATTTTCCCACTTGTGCGAGCTGCCCGGTTACGGTGGTGACTTCTTTATTGGTATTTTCAATTTCACGTTTCAGATCTAGAATCTGAGGCGTCAGCACATCATCTATAGCAGATTTGATAGCGACAGTGACAATTTTGTCTAAATCAGTCTGCTGTTCGCTCAAGGCTTGTTTCACTCCGGCCAAAATGGCGCCATCCAGCTCAGCTCGGGAGATAGCGGTGGAAGACTCCCTAAATTTCTTCTTAATGGGAGAAGTAGCGTCCTCCCGAGTATGAACAAGTGTGGCCTGGGTCGACATTTTCGATGATTTCACGTAATTTAGCATTTAGTTGTGCTTCAGAGACCTGAAGATATGCGAGTGGTGTGGAGAGCGTCTTTTCAAAGCTGCAACGCCATTAACGCGTCACGTCCTCCCAATTATATATTACTTTAGAGAAAAGTGTAAATCGACAGAGAAAAACTGTAACTAGTTGTTTATTAGCATGCATATTACTAGCATGTTGGCTGTTTATTAGTACTTATTATAGATCCCTTAATCCTGCGCAATACCTAAACCTAACAACTACCTTACTAACTATTAATAAGCAATGATTTAGAAGTTTTTGAGGCAAAAGTCGTAGTATTTAAGAGAACAAGATAACTTGTCCCCAAACTATAGTGTAAACCAAAGTTCTATTTAAAAACTTCAAACTTACTGTTATAGCTTTAATAAATAACTAGAACAAAACGAAACACCTATTTCATTAAACCCACATCTTCAGAACATACTTTGAGACACATCAAGAAAACATTTCAGATTATTAATTTAAGTGTTTTAAACTACTAAATCTCAAGTGCAAGTTATGAGAAATGTGACCTTACTCAGTAAATTGAGTTAAGAAAAGTAAAAGTACTCAGAAAAGTAAACTCAGAAATGCTGTGCAGCAAGTTGCAAGTTGACATTTTTAGCTGTGTGGATTTTTTGAATACAGATTTGTTTCCCCCCCTATATACAAATGAAGAAATCATTGCATTGCAGCTAGTGGCCTTACTTACTTATTCGTTGATTTATTTATTTATTTAGATTGATGCATACTTATCACAAATGATTGATGTGTCACTTATCAGAAATGTCAATTTGACATTTGACAATTTGGTCTTAATGTAGCATGATAGATTGCCGTTGCCACCTCAAGCAGTACGTGAACCGATTATCTCTACCTCTTTAATATTAGTTCACATTGCAGGAAGAAAGGCACATTCGAATGTATTACTACTACTAGTTATAAACATGAATAAGCATCAGGAAGGTATTTTGAAAGATACAGTATGTCACACACAAACAAAGGGCAGATGTTCTGCCTTCTAGTCTAGACAGTCTGCTTTCTGAGAGTCACCATATTTGAGATCAAAAATGAATAAAGGTCTCTGATGAATCTATATTTTCTAACTTTGCTGCATAGTTGTCATTAACACTTTACCTTAAGCAGACCTTCCATCTTCCATCTCAAAAGCCCCTTTTCTTGCTGTGTAGAATGTAAGGAGTTGCAAGGTGTTAAGATTAGATTACTATAAGATCAGATCACTCATTCTTCATAGTATCATTTGCAGGGAGGGGAAGCTACTGTATTGCATTGCATAAGAATTGATGGTTTCACTGCAGTTTTGCAGAATTCCATTCACAATGAATCTGGTTACAATGAAAAGTGTGTCACACGTTAGGCACTTGCTCCTGCTTCAGCCATTACACAGCATGTCAAAATCTTTTCAACAAGCTGAAAAAATGCAATCCATTTCTCTTTTATCCATTTCTTTCAAAACACTTGCACAGCGCATTACCTTCTATAATACCCATATCTAGAGAAGACACACTCCCTGTGCACGTAAACAGGTAGATGTTTGTCTCAACCTACATGAAATCACAGATGTCAAGTAATAAGAGCTGTAACTCAAATGTTGTTTAGGAAACTTGTCCTGTCCAGAAAGGGATATACTGTATATTGCAGCAGCACCTTTTTACACCCTCTGCCTGAAACTGCTTAGGGTGTGTCAGAAATGTAACAGCCCTTACCATCATCAGTTATAGTTCCCCAGGCTTCACGAGCAGCTGTTTCATTGGCAGTGTTGGCCAAGTTACTTTGAAAATGTAATTAAATTACTGATGACTCCTTTTAAAAGTAATCACGTTACTGTTCTGATTACTTTATTTCAAAGTAATTAGTTACATTACTAGTTACGTTACTTTTTTCTGTGACTACATCCATGAAATCCCAGCATAAACACTCCCGATAAAAATTTGTGTTATTTTTAACTAAAGCAAGCTGCTGCGTAACTTACATGGTTTGGCATGGCAGAATGTCAGCAAATAGCGCTGATTTTAAAATCTCTAAAAATATGACATCTCACAAAGCTCTGTTATAACACAATATATGCATAATGAATCTATCATAATGTCTACAATTCATGTGTTATAATCAGAGGATTCGTGAGCACGCACATTTCAGCTCTGCACTCCTGACTGGCCATTGCGTTCCACAAATCAACATTGCTCAACGCAGCAAACACGTGTTACAGCCTAAATAGAAACTCTGCCTACGCTTGCGCCTGTTAGTCGTTTTTAAAATGTTATATTAGTTCTTGTTGCTTTTGTGCAATAGATGAATAACAATGTATTTGTTTTAGATATTTTATGTTTAGATATTTCTATTTTGCGGGAGTCCCGTGAATCATTTTATCCGCCCGCATCCCGCATACACACGAGTGTCTACCCACCCGCACCAGCACTCGCCCATCTTGTCCCGCGCCGCACTCTGTTGCGTCGGGGCTCGCGGGAGTGCAAGTCTCTAATCCTCTGGCACTTGACTCGGCAGTGCGTGTGCTACATCCTTTTTTACAATCTAGATTATAAAACACTGCATTCTGTCAGCAATGTAACGCGGCAGTAACGTATAGAGACATAGGCTTGTAACTATACTCTTAATTACTATTTTGAAAATTATAACGCGTTAAATTACTCCGTTACTAAAAAAGTAATCAAATTACAGTAATGCATTTACTGCCCAACACTGTTCAGAATCTGAATCAGTCTTCAGTTATTTGAGTTTATCCGTTTAACAGTCCAGATCATTAGTCCAGATCGACAAATGTACAGATAATTTTATCTGTGATTGTACAAGTGTTTAGGGACCTATACGCATTTTTCACTATATTTCTAGGATAGCTTTGCATGATCTGAGCTCAGATCCATTGCCAAAATGCCAAAAGGATTCAAAGGATTTGCCAAAATCCTTTTAATGACCATGATGACCCACTCATGTCCCAGAAATGACTGATTAACATTTCCCAGAGATGACATCACTGGCATGAGAGAATAGACGTTCTGGTCTCAGGCACACAACAAATCCAGAATGCTTCTAAAGAAAACTCTCTTGATTCTATATTTAAATTGAATGTGTGACTTTTCTGACCATTTCTCTTTTTTTCTTTTTTTTTTAATTTTGAAATAGGTGGTGTCTGATGCTGCAGGACAAGGCATCACCATCACAGGAGACAAAACCTTCAACAACTGGAATTGGCCCAATGCTGTCATCTTTGCAGCTACAGTTATTACAACTATAGGTATGGATCTAGTCTATATACACAGTATGAAAATCAAGCAAATCTGTTTCACTTGGAGAAATAATCAAAGGAAACATTGATTTACTTAACTGAAAAAATAATCAGGAAATGGTGAATAAAGGACTGCACGATTAATCGAATGCGATCTTTCAGTGAAGCAGCTTATCATTTAATGAATCGACTGCCTATCAGCTAATCTTCAACATGTTTTACACTAAACAATACTTTTGGATTGAACTATTTTTAGAGTATTTTTCAGAGTTTACACTGAAAAAAATGCTTTATAGGAGAAGTCACTGACTATTTGCGGCAGGTGGGATTCAGTTTACGGCACTTCTCATTCATTCCTATGGTATCCGTAAACAGTTTTGAGTGTCGATTGAGTGTCGCACAACTCTGACTGAAATGCAATGACATCAAGGCTGTAATGTGATTGGTTATTAAGGCAAACATGATCCAAGTTGACCGTTACACATTCTCCAATAGTAAGTAATACAGACCCTCTCATCTCCCAATAGTAAGACAATCTCTGGTTGTAGTTCACTGACAAGCTACGCAAACCCGCTTTCATAATACGCAGAGCGATTTAATCATGTGATTCTGAAATCGAGTCAATCCTTCTGTGATTATGAAAGCAGTTTGCGTAGCTTGTCAATGAACTACAGCTCTGTGTAGTAAATGCTGCTCCATCTGAACCCGCATCTGTATGCCATGGAGCCTTTACCCGGCAAGTTTGATTCGTTTATAACATGCATTTAAAAAAGCAACATGCGTGAAACATCTTTACACAAACATGAGAAGCATTTCCTTGTCCCACAAAACACCACATTTAATAACATGTTTTTATTCCAAACTCACTTAGCATTGCATTATAAATGTACTTTATTATAATAAAAATTATAAGAAGAACTCCGATAAACCATATACAGGTGCATCTCAATAAATTAGAATGTTGTGGAAAAGTTCATTTATTTCAGTAATTCACCTCAAATTGTGAAACTCGTGTATTAAATAAATTCAATGCAAGCAGACTGAAGTAGTTTAAGTCTTTGGTTCACTGTCAAAGAAACCTGGGCTTCCATACCACCTCAGCAGTGCCACAAACTGATCACCTCCATGCCATGCTGAATTGAGGCAGTAATTAAAGCAAAAGGAGCCCCTACCAAGTATTGAGTACATGTACAGTAAATTAACATACTTTCCAGAAGGCCAACAATTCACTAAAAATGTTTTTTTTTTATTGGTCTTATGAAGTATTCTAATTTGTTGAGATAGCGAATTGGTGGGTTTTTGTTAAATGTGAGCCAAAATCATCACAATTAAAATAACCAAAGACTTAAACTACTTCAGTCTGTGTGCATTGAATTTATTTAATACACGAGTTTCACAATTTTAGTTGAATTACTGAAATAAATGAACTTTTCCACGACATTCTAATTTATTGAGATGCACCTGTATTGCCGTAGTCCTGTGTTTATTAGTCACGTTGAATCAATGAAAACAGTTCAATCTTCTGTTTCCTGGAACAACATGCATTACCTTTCTTCTGCGGGACATATTTGGAGTTTCAGCATGAAAGCGCCCTCTGGCCTTCGGATGGAGATTTACTGTTGATCACAGAACCGTGCTTCACTGAAAGACACGACTGACAATCACAGTTTTTGCCTAATCGCAATTGTGATTTCATTTTGATTAATCGTGTAGCCCTAGGTGAATATTTATGCTACAGTCATGTATATTTTTTTCCCACAGAATTGGGAGACTTTTAAGCATTGTTTTCCTCTATGGATACTTAAATTCTGTTTAATACTCAGAGAAATATATGGATGCCATGTCTTAAGATAGAATATGTTGGGGCAATTTCCTGAACAGGGCTTAAGACTAGTGCTAGATTAAAATAAATGTTAGCGCTGTCTAAACTGAAAAAAAGCTTGCACTAACATATCTTAAAATACACCAGTGCCATTGTTTGGTCTTAAAATGCACACAAGTAATGTTTTTTGTAAGGAATGTTTGTAAAAACTACTTAAATGCCCTTATTTAACAAAGGCCTAGGCCTGGCTTAATCGAATCCCTATCCAGGAAAACACTCCATTGTGTTCAGACTGTAATGAGAGAAATTGTTTTACCAAAAATGTTTTATATCTGCAGGTTATGGAAATATCGCACCTAAAACACGTTCAGGGAGGGTTTTCTGTATCTTTTATGGTCTTTTTGGAGTGCCGCTGTGTTTCACATGGATCAGTGAACTTGGAAAGTTTTTTGGAGGAAGAGCTAAACACCTTGGGCAATATCTTACTAAGAAAGGGGTAACATTGGTGAGGAATAATCACAAACAACCATTATATTTGAAATCTGAATATCACTAAAATAACAGCAATGAAACTTCTAATTGCATTTTGCTATTTTTCTGTTATAAGGCTGTTAATTGTGTGTGTGTGTGTGTGTGTGTGTGTGTGTGTGTGTGCGCGTGTGTTTCTTCTTCTTAAAGCGGAAAACACAGTTCACCTGCACAGCTGTCTTTCTGTTATGGGGTGTGTTGGTGCATTTAGTGATTCCTCCATTTGTATTCATGTCTCAAGAGGGCTGGACCTATATTGAGGGCTTGTATTTTTCTTTTGTCACTTTGACAACTATTGGATTTGGTGATCTTGTAGCAGGTGGGTGACTGAGATGTTTAAACTGCTTATTATGATAAATCCCCTGAGAAAATGTTTCTAGTAACTTATGTTGACTTGACAAAGCCAAAATACTTATATACTATTTAAGCTTATTGTGGCAGGCAAGGCATCACTGTTGTTATCTCACATGCTTATTTATTTTCTTTTGCGAAGCATCTAATACAATAATAATAATAATTACATAATACATTTTACTTAAAACAATTTATTATTATTATTATTTTAACAACATGCAACATATTATGTATCAATAGTACATTGTGTAAATGTGTGAATCATAGTAGCAACATTTTAAACATGCTAGCAACGGGCTACAACATGTTAAAAATCACCATGAAATCAAAATTTACTTTTTATTTTTTTTAATAGTATATTGCAGTGGTTTATTTAATAAAAGATTTATCTGTGACGTTTTTTTAATGCCTTTTATCCAAAATAACTTCCCCTCCTTCTTGTAACAACACTCTCTTTCAAATCAAATCTAAGCAGAAACGTTTCCCTGATCACAACGGAGAGAACAGTCAATGGTTGGGATGGCTGGGATCCTTCATTATCTTCCTGCCCTTTGTCCAGTTTGTAAAAAAATACTCAATATACTGTACCTCCCAGTTAGGGTTGGGTATCGTTTGGGTTTTTTTCAATACCGGTGCCAAATCGATACTTTTAAAACGGTTCCTGTGCCTGAACCGATACTTATTAAAAAATAAAAAAATAAAAAAATAACCCCAAAAAAATGATGGATTGGCCATTAGAATAGAAATAGAATAGAGAGTGCAAATGTTAGAGGGTCACGTTTTTTTAATTAAAAAAACAAGCAGATAAAATTACAAGTAGCATTAGAATAGAGAGTGCTAGAGTTAAAGGGTCAAATTAAGATATAAGAGATGTTTTTTCAGCCGTTTCTTGAAAATATTAAAGACTCAGCTGCTTGGATTGAGCTGGGCAGGTCATTCCACCAGGAGAGAACAGTTAATGTAGAAGACCATGAAAGTTTTATCATAGGTAGAATGCAAAAAGTTTCAATACAAGCATTTCAGTCAAATGTAATTTATGCAATATTTCAAACCTTTAACCCACCTGGGAAAATCAACCCATGGCAACAGTTTAAAAGTAGCCCAATTCTGTGGAAAAAACGCGGACTTGGCAACCCTGCATCCAACAAGAGCTATGGAGTCAGCTTTGACTGATCACAGGTCGAGAATAAGGAGAAGATGACTGACAAGACCATGCTGGAGTATTTGCTGCTCAACAGATTCTGAACTCATTGACAAACATCTGATCTTGTAAGATGTCCTTGCTCCCTTTACACAGCGTATGTACGATCGCGAAATCGAAAGTGAAAGTAAACTCCCGCAACATGAGTTTCACGAAACTCATGTTGCGGGAGCAGGCGGCATTGCTCAGAGATTCAGCGGGAGTGGGATTAAGAAAACAGCTGAATCCCGGACATTTTGGGCAAATAAGAAATCCCGGCCGGATGCATTTTTGTAGGTCAAAAAAGAGGACATGTCCGGGGAAAAGAGGACGTATGGTCACCCTAATTTATTGCTAATCAATGTATTCTTTTTAAAGTAGCATATAGAACATATTTTCTGCCTCATTCTGTGACAAGAAGCCTCATCAGATCACAAAAGGAAGCATTTGACTGGTGTTGTGGAGTAAAAAGGTTATAATTTTCTCTTTTGTTGGACAACAGGTTTAGAAATGTGAATACAAGGACATTTTAGCAATCAGGGTATGTTCCAATCATTCGTTTTTTTATTTAATATTGAAATCTGAAAAATGAAAAACGGCACATATTTCGTTTTTCAATTGTTCAAATAAAACGAAAAATCAAGAATCCGGCTTCATTTTTCGTTTTTACGTTCAGGGATAGAAAACAAATAAGCAACTTGAATATTCGATCTCTACATGTGGGCGGGAATGAAACGCCCCTCAGCTGATTGGTCAACAACATAATAATAGTCCTAGAAAAAACATAATACCGTATTGTCCCGAATATAAGACGATATTTTTTTCTTGGAAATACATCTGAAAAAACGCGGTCGTTTTATATTCAGGGTCTAGACTTTGACATGTCAATAATACACCCACAACAATAGGTGGCGCCAAATACGCATAAAACGAGTGTGCCATGAAATACGTAATGTAATGCGTGTTGTAAAGATCGCGAGTAAAAACAAAAGAAGCAGAAAACCTTACAGCTGCATGAGTCGTGACTGTCACGTTAGCCTGATGGCACCAAACTCCCTTTGTGATTTTGAAACGTAAGACAGTACCCAGATTTGAAGACTACAGTAAGATTTAACTTCTACTGTTAATAAGAGTTTGGTAGGCTACTATTAGATGGATAGCCTAAATGTCCTAATTCAGATGGGCTACCTGTTTTTTTTTTTAATGGTATATCAAAAAGTGTATATTTTTAAAATGTGATTGTTGGTACATTTTACCAGTTTTTACCATACTTTCAAAACAAAAATGAAAATAGGAAAAATATGCAATATGAAAATAATTGAAGACAAAATGTGTTTTACTTTGGTTTTTTACTTAAGATTTGGTTTTTTAAAAGCCTTTTCCCAAAGGTACATCTGGAAAAAGGGGGGGGGGGTGTCGTCTTATAATCAGGGTCGTCTTATATTCGGGCCAATACGGTAATAGTCCTCCGCTTCTATTGATTCTTAACATGTTTATTTCTACTACATTTTATCTTTCTCTTCATCAAACATCCAGATTAATGAATGGCTTGACACAAACCGTACCGAGGCAGAGCCTTGGCACACCGCCTGATCTATTATAGCTAACTATCAAAATCTGTGTGGAAAATCTGTGTGGCAAAGCTGCGCGAGGCACTGCAGCATGGGGAGAATGTATTGACCACTATCAATTTATGTGAACATACAGTCATAACTTTTGTGTTAGCCAATACACTGCATTTAGACAAAGGAGGAACTTAAATAATATGACAGATATGAAAAGAAATGACTTTACCTTCACAACACATCTATTTTTTTTCTTTTTTAAGTTTTATTCATAGAGCACTTTCTAGAAATTTAGTAAATCATATGTTGTTATCCCACTGACATGGGACTATTTGTTCGTCAGAGTGCTCGTTTCAGTGATTGAATTTAGTGAAATGTGAATTTGACGTCATTATTTGAAGGTGAACTTGTTTGAGTTATAAGAGCATATCCAAACCCTGAAATAACACTTCGAACAATAAGCCTCATCAGTGTGAGAAATTAACTTTCCCATAAGGGGAAATTGATTTTCAGTTTTTTTTATTATTTATTATTATTATTATTATTATATATTTTTTTTTTACCTTTTACCTTTTGTATGTCATCTTTAATGTTAAATTCTTACATCAAATAAATTAGAATAATATGACAATAGGCTGTTCCCAATTAAATCAGTATTCAGTGATACAGAACCTGCATCTGAAGATGCTTTTAGATATATTTACAGTTTAATGCTGATCAGACGGCTGTACGTGCATTTACACAGCAATTACAAATTTATAATGAAATGAGATTAATGTTTTATACAACAGCTTTAATACAGAAATATGAATAAAATGAAATGATACTTGAATTATGAAAGTAATATCGCCACTAGGTGGCGGTAAGTCATTGAGTTAATAAAGGAGCGTTTTATTCAATAAATTCATTCAAAATGCTTCATTCATTCATTTAGGAATAAATTCAAGCGGCTGTCTATAATAATTGGTAATTGCATTGTTGTCTATAATAATGTTTTTTTCAAATACTCTTGATTCATTCAGGAATGCTGATCAGACGGCTGTACGTGCATTTACACAGCAATTACAAATTTATAATGAAATGAGATTAATGTTTTATACAACAGCTTTAATACAGAAATATGAATAAAATGAAATGATACTTGAATTATGAAAGTAATATCGCCACTAGGTGGCGGTAAGTCATTGAGTTAATAAAGGAGCGTTTTATTCAATAAATTCATTCAAAATGCTTCATTCATTCATTTAGGAATAAATTCAAGCGGCTGTCTATAATAATTGGTAATTGCATTGTTGTCTATAATAATGGGTTTTTCAAAGACTGATTCATTCAGGAATGATACACCACTCTATGCGCCTGCTGCGAGTCAGTCACACAAACTTTGGTTTAGTTGGCAGAGAAAATAACAATTTAGTATGCCATCGGTTAGCTGGCCAATACTCAATATTAATTAAATAAACTGAGTTTATTGTCTAAAACTACCTATGTTCACATAGTGGTCTGCGCTTGTCTACAATACATTCTTCCCATGCTGGAGTGTATCGCGCAGCTTTGCCACACAGATTTTAATAGGTGGTTATCTATAATAATTCAGGTGGTGTGCCAAAGATGTAGGCTAGTAGGTAGTTGTGAGTGCAGGTGCGAAGTAAATTAATATTTATGAGATAAACTAATATTTCAGGTGTAGGTTGCAGAATTTATGCCTACACAAAAGAAAGTCTAGGCTCTGCCTTGATACGGTTTGTGTCAAGCCATTCGTTAATCTGGCTGTTTGATGAAGAGAAAGAGATCAAATGTAGTAGAAATAAACACGTTAAGAATCCATAGAAGCGGAGGACTCTTATGTTTTTTTTAGGACTATGAAATGTTTGGTTGACCAATCAGCGGAAATCCGTGTATCATTCGATCATTCGTTTTTTGATTTAATATTGAAAGTTGAAAAATGAGAAAACGGCTCCTTTGTCGTTTTTTCGTTTTTTTCCAAAAAAACGAGAAATGAGAATTCAGCTTAAATTTTCGTTTATCGTTCATGGGTGGAAAAATGAATAAACCGCTTGAATATTCGATTTCTACATGTGGGCGGGAATTAAACGCCCCTTTCTGCTGATTGGTCAGCTGAAGATCAAACCGTGCCGTCATCAGTTCTTCTGCAGTATCACGCAGCAGAATAATAGTCCTCTGCTGCTGCAGTTGTACGGATTAATAACCCATTTTATCAATTTCATATTTTTCTCATCAAACAGACTAATGAATAGCTCGACACAACTCGTACCAGGGCAGAGTCTAGACAGGGCTTTCTTCTGTGTAGACCAGCGGTTCTTAAAGTGATAGGGGGTCCGAGAAATAATTTGGTGAGAAATAATTTGCTATAGCCTACCATATTTTACAGAGTGTAAAATCACTTTTTTTTAATCATGATACATAGGCCTACTGTGATTTATTCCAAAGTGACT